AAGAGTGTTGTTAAGGCTGAAGGTATACCCAATCGATTGCACCCCAAACAACTACGAGTTATCAGAAAGAGAAGAGGAAAAGACGGGAGATAAAAAACAAAACAAAAAAAAAAACTGCCTCAGAAATTACAGCACGGCGGGCGGCACGAAATTTTAGGAGCAAAATGTCCAAAGGATCGACTTCACAAGACACCGAGTCTCACCAACTGCTGGTTCTCCTATCGCTTTTGTTGACAGAAGACAGTTGACAGAAGCCCAGATTTGGACAAGTTGCAGAGAAGTTTGTACCTGGACATGCCATGCTGTTCTGCTGCTAGCGTGGAAAACCCGGATGTAACTGGTTTTGACAGACGTCCGACTCGATTCAGTCGTTTGCGTCTGTACTGACGCGCATTCACAACATATATCTTATTATTTTGAACTGATCGCAATCTGTGATTTTTCGTTATGTATGTACGTATGCATACGATGAACTTGATAGGGTCGATCTACAGACCACACGAATAAACTAATTACTTGCATTGAAAGACAAAATGCAAAGTTACAAAATACAACGATATGAAAAATAATGAAAATGTATTATAAAAATCTAAATACTTCGAAAATAAAAAAAAATTCTAGCAGCAGCCACTTCAGCAGAAGTTTGTGTGGTAATAAAACCACCCCAAAAGATAACCATAGATGGCATAGTAACAGACCTTTTGAATGATGCAGACGAGTTCTGCATAAATTAAATAGCTTTTTCCCCATAAAGGAGAGAAAAGTACCTAAAAATTCTACTATGGGAATAGTAGCATTATTGGATAAAAAAGAAAAACCTTATAAAACTTTTTCCCTGTTAGCTCATTACTGAACAGATACACATTATTACCAAAGTACATTGAAACATACTAATAAATATGCTAGCTGAAAACCAGGCATACAAACAGGTAGGTTAACCAGTGGCTATTCAACAATAAAAATCCATTATTGATATGTGGACTGTTATCCACATATTTGTTGTTGTTATCAAAACATTTCGGTCGTTTACCCTTCGGCTTTCAGCAGGTGCATTTCAACCTGAATCCTTTATTTAGTCCTACGAGTCGATGGCCTAGTGGTTCATGAAATTGGAGACTAGTAATTATGTATTTGTCTATATTTCTGAGATGAGGTATTATGTACACTTTACATTATTCAGACTGTTGTCCTCTTCTTTGTCGCCATATTTATTACAACGTTTCGGCCGTTTACGCCCCGGCCTTCTTCAGGTGGTTGGAAAGTCGAACTGAATCCTTTATTTCGCTCACTGGGTAGACTGTCCTAGTTCCATGTGCCATGTTTTGATGGATGTCAGTTATCGGTTTTCTTCTGATGATTCCCCTCTCCAAGTTCTCCACTTCCTTAACCGGGTATTGAACTCACATTCTTTGGATCCTGTCACTGGATCTAACAGGAGATAACCGATAACAGACATCCATTACAACATGGCACGTGGAACTAGAACAGTCTACCCCAGTGAGCGAAATAAAGGGTTCAGTTCGACATTCCAACCACCTCAAGAAGGCCGGAGCGTACAACGGCCGAAACGTAGTAATAAATATGAAGACAAAGATGAGGGCAATAGTCCGAATAATGTAAATTGTGTAGTAATTGTGCATTCAATCCCTGGGTCGGGCAGTGTGTACTTGAATTCAGTGGAAATACAGTGAGCAATAACTGAGCAGTACTGAATGGAACAAGAACAATCTACTCCGTACATTAAATAAAGTGTCCGAATCGACATACACATGATAAAAGCCATTCCATTGTATACAGAAAGTCGGTAACTTCATCAGGTTATCTGTTGGTATACTGGTCCGTTTTCCTAGGGATGTGTCCGAGGTCAGTCTCTCCCGCACTACCTATAGTGCCTCTTCCGTTGGGTACCTGTGCAATTTCCTCACAGATAAAGAGAAAACACGAAGCAACAAGAGATGTTGTTCTACAGAAGGATGCTGAGAATGCCATTGACGGAGTATGTGACCAATGAAGAAGTTTTAAAGAAAATAGGAACACATTTTAGAATCAGAAACAGAACAACAGAAATTTCTAGGAACTGCATTGAGGACAGAAGGTGGAGAATTTGACATTCAAGTTATTGTTAAAGCATGATGGAAAGGAAAAACATCCAAATAATTTAGCTAAGTTTGTGAAATGGATGGCGAGATATTGTAAAACCGTTAAAAGAGCTACAAAGGATAGAAGTTGAGAAAGCCATAATTTTAGATGCTATGAAGGAATACAGTAGAAAGAAAAAAAAGCATTAGGCACATTATAGATGCTGAGAATATTATTCATAAAAGCATATCAGTAAGGTTTCAATGAAAATGGACACAAACAGGACTTATATTTTAGAATCGGAAAAATAAAGGTAAAATTTGCAGGATATCTGAGGACCGATTTTGGAAAATTTGACACTCACATGACATATGGAAGGAAGAGAGAAGCAAGAAATAAATAAGTTACCTAACAAGTCTGTTGGATGACGGAATAGGAAAGGTGAGAGATAGGTAAAAACAGAAAGAAAAGCTACAAAAGGAAGATATGGAGAGCCATGATCGCACACGCCCTGAAGAGATATGGTACATGAAAGATGAGTCAAATTGCTCAGCTATCGGTTTTAAAATTTAACAAAATGAATTTATATAGAACTTACTGTCTCATAAGAAAAAAGTCACAGGAAGTAAAGCTTTGAAATGTTTTATAGACATTAAGAAAGATTTTTTAGACAGAGAAAAGATCCACCTCCTAATTAATTTAATTGGTGTCAACACCACATGCTAGTTCAGTTTAAGAGGCAGACAAGCGATGTAAGGTTTAAGGTTCTAAATTTCCATTACTGTATGGTTTCATTGGGAATTTATGAAGAGGTGGATATTTCTGGTTGATGGTCATCGAAATGTTTGTGAAATCGCATGAGTTTTAAAATTTTTTTTTTTTTTTTTTTGGTCGAGCAGGAAATGTCATCTACTTTTTCAAAATCCCTGACAATTACGTATTTAGCGGATGAAAATGTAACAAAAATAAGGTCCAACTAAATTTAAATTAAAAATTTTTTTTTTTTATAGCTGTTTTTCGTTACTTGTTATTACACATAAACTTGAGCGGTTTTATTATTTTTGCAGACGCTTGCCAGGATAAATATATTCAACACGAGTCGTGGTTTATACTCAAACTTTTTGTTGATAAGAGCCTTAAAACATAGTCAAAAAAAAAAAGAGCGATTTTAAATGGAGTGATCTTTCTTTAGAAAAAAAAACAGCACGCTCAAACCTTCACACAAATGACTTTTGTCTTATGAATATAGCACAGCTATCAACGGCAATTATATTTTTCAGTGTTTTTTTTTTATTCACGTTCATTTTTTTTTTGTGTTATTTTTGATCGACCCATCTTTATCCGATAAAGTTATCAGACCTGAACAAATCGACCATGGTGAGATTCGAACCTGGGTCTCTTGGTCAGATATGAATAATTTGAACCAAAAGCTTTTTTTTCAATAGACTTAAGGTACTTGCGTAAATAAAACATTTATTTTGTACAAAGAGAACATTTACATAAATGTATTACATATTTTCTCCGACCCCTTCAAAAAGAAAAGCTTAGCGAATATTAGTTTAAGACAATTATCACGTTCTTTTTTTTTTCTTCTGATCACCGAAGTTAGGCAACGTTGAGCCTGGTCAATACCTAGATATGGTAACCACTTGGAATACCAAAGCTGTTCTCTTAGAACGGGAACTTTTCTGACAATTTTCGAAATGAAAAATTGGAAAACCGAGTTCGAATTTAGTAAGGTTCGTTTATTCGCTTACGCACAAATACCCTTTCTTTTTATGAATACCTCTTCTACCCCATGCGATGGGTTAAATAGGATAGATTGGGTCCTAATAGCCTTGGTTCACAATTGGTCTACTGTAAAAAGTAACGGCAGCCTACTCCGGGAATTATTCTACCAAGTCCATCATGAATCGAAACATGATCGCCCAAGCGTTTATCACACAATGTTATGCAAGTCTGTTTTTACAAATCTTGCAAAATTGTCTTTTTCTTTCCTTTGTCTTTTTTTTTTTTTTTTGGTACCATGTTAGCATCTTTCCTTCGCAACGTCTCTCCCCATAATTGTCCGTTGTCTAGCACGTCACGGATTGGCTGTTAAGGGTCACATGACCGGTTAATCGTGGTGCATACTAAATAAAGGAGAGGAAACAAAGTTAACCTTAAACTGCATTAACGTTCTCAGTGGCATTTGCTGTCTTTCAAAGGAATGAATCTTGTTTTAAAGAGAATTCTCTCAAAACTGGAATCAATGATAATACAAAGACAGCAATTCTGTTGAACGAGTTTCTGTCTCAATTCCTGGAATGATGGACTACCATTATTTACATGCGCGCTTATGTTATCTTTGTTGTTAACATCACAATGGCGGCCGTTGAGCTTTACGGTCTTCTTCATGTTTGTACCGATCCGGGTAACGTTCTGGTAGGTGGGCATTTTGAACAGAATCCATTATTTAATCTGCGGAGGGTAGATTGTTCTCGTTTCGCTGTCCATGGTCAAACGAACGAAAGAAATGAAATGAATGAATGAAGGAAGGAGAGATATAGGATGGAAGGAAGGAGAGATAGAAGGAAGGAAAGAAGAAACGAAGGAGGTAGACGGTTCTCGTTTCGCTGTTCATGGCCAGACGAACGAAAGAAAGGAAGGAGATATAAAGGAAAGAATGAAGGAAAGATGAAATGAATAAGTGAAGGCAAGGAAGGAAAGAAAGATAAAATGAAGGAAAGATGAAGTGAAGGACATGAAGGAAAGGAAGATGAAATGAAGGACATGAAGGAAAGAAAGAGGACGTGAAGGAAAGAAAGAGGACGTGAAGGAAAGAAAGAGGACGTGAAGGAAAGAAAGAGGACGTGAAGGAAAGAATGTTAAAGGTGTTATGAAAGATTCTAGAAATGAAGGAAAGTTCTTTGGGGGGAAGGTCATAGAAGGAAAGAAAGATGAATTGAAGGACATGAAGGAAAGAAAGAGGAAATGAAGGAAAGAAAGAGGAAATGAAGGAAAGAAAGGAAAGGAAGCGGAAAGGAAGAGGAAATGAAGGAAAGAAAGAGGAAGGGAAGGAAAGAAAGCGGAAAGGTAGAGGAAATGAAGGAAAGAAAGAGGAAATGAAGGAAAGAAAGAGGAAATGAAGGAAAGGAAGGAAAGGAAGCGGAAAGGAAGAGGAAATGAAGGAAAGAAAGATGAAGTGAAGGACATGAAGGAAAGAAAGAGGACGTGAAGGAAAGAAAGAGGAAATGAAGGAAAGGAAGGAAAAGAAGCGGAAAGGAAGAGGAAATGAAGGAAAGAAAGAGGAAGGGAAGGAAAGAAAGTTCCTTTAAAGAAAGCGGAAAGGAAGAGGAAATGAAGGAAAGAAAGAGGAAATGAAGGAAAGAAAGAGGAAATGAAGGAAAGAAAGAGGAAATGAAGGAAAGAAAGAGGAAATGAAGGAAGGGAAGGAAAGAAAGAGGAAGGGAAGGAAAGAAAGAGGAAGGGAAGGAAAGAAAGGAAAGGAAGCGGAAAGGAAGAGGAAATGAAGGAAAGAAAGAGGAAGGGAAGGAAAGAAAGAGGAAGGGAAGGAAAGAAAGAGGAAATGAAGGAAACATAAAACTAACATCAAGGAAAGGAAAATAAACGAAGGATAGGAAAGAAAGAAAAGATAAAATTACGAGGAAAGGAAAGAAAAAAGATGAAATGAGCAGTTGGAGGAGAGATCGATGGGGTTCTAGCTGAGTGGGTATCAGAAGGTAAATTCATCCACAAAAAGATTAAGCTGTTGTATTATGAGATTTATCCCTTTTGTGTGTATGATACACCTAATTTACATAAGCGGACTACTGACCATATAAATATGGGTTGGTACCGGAAGACGGGGGAAGATAGTCGAGATTAAGCGTTTACACTGTTTTTTCTCTGACCGGTGCTGAACATATTTGCTGTCTACCAAAGGACTAATTTTCATCTTTTCAGACTGCCTTAATTTAGTTAAGTTTTTTGATTTAATTGTTTACTATTTTCTAACGAATTTTTTTAAAACTTGTCATTTTTCGAACTTTCTCATTTTGACCTTTTGTTTTTCCTTTTCATTTCCATTCTTTAACCGTTACTTCTTTTTGTTATTAATTATTTCTGTTTTGAGTTTTTTTTCATTTACCCTCGGAGTTTTCTGTTTATTTTCGTTTCTCGTTTGACCTTTTTAATTTTTACGTGTTAATTAATTTCTGTATTTACCCGTTTAAAAAAAAAAAAAAAAAAGTCTACGTGTTTTTAATTTGTTTTAATTTTCTGTCCCTCCTCTTTTTAACGTTAGCGGCAGCCATTTTGTAAATTGTAACTTTTTTTTTTTTTTTACGTATTGCGTTTTTCTCTTTCCGTTTATAACTATTAGTTTTATTGTGTAATTTGTTTGCTTTCTTGTCTGTTGTCCTTTAAATTTTTGTTCTTTCTTCATTTTCGTGAACCTTGTCTACATTTTCTCGTCTGTATATTTGGTTTTTGTACTTGTTTATATTTGTGGTTATAATTTTTGCACACGTCCTCCTGTTTGATTTTTTTTTTGTCTGTTGATATTTAATTGTTGTCTTGCTGATAGGCCAAACTTTATTTTACCCTCCTTTTTATTTTTTTTTCTCCTCCTCCGCCTATAAGGCGTTTCCTCACCCGTATTTACTCCTCCCTCCTCTTATTATTTAAAAATGGATAAAAAAGAAAAAAAGCCACCCTCCTTTTTGCATATTAAAAAGCCTAAAAAAGGCTATACGCAAAACACCTGTTTAATCCAACTAAAAAGATCCCGGACAAAGATGACTTTGAAGAATTTCCTGCGCTGGAAACTACTTCTAGCAACATTGATGCTGATGTGAAAAGAAAAAAAAAAGAAAAAAATAGTAATATTTTACGGAAGCCGAAAATGGCAATAATGAAAATGACTCAACTATGGAGGCCAATAATG